TTTCTTTGTTGCATTCACTCGCTCTGTTTCCTATCGCTTGACTTTAGGCTTGTATCAAGCAACGACATTATGTAGTCTTCTATTAGTAACAGTGATGCACAGATCTAAATTAAACTGGTTTTATTTCTGTGCTATGAGAGCACTGGGAGCATTTAGGACTTTTCATCCTCRCTCACAGGTGTTTTCACTTGCATTGGCTAATAGAACCTCTTCTCTGCAATCTGTGGGCGTGCAGAAACTGCTGCAAAATTTGACTTTCAGTTTTGTTCTCAAGTGCATGGCTTTGAATCAAATTACAGCTTCATGTTAAAAAAAATGTCACTACTGCACACTTCCAGCATGTAGTCCTACCTAACTGCAAACTGAACATAAAAACTCTGAATGCCTGGTGAAAAAAAAAAACTTTTGGTTTATTGCTTTTACTTCTAAACTGATGTGGCTATGACTTCCTAGTAACTGCAAAGCAAAACAGCATTGCTTCAAAAACATCATAAAACACAATAAGCTAACGTGAGAAGTTGGAAGACATATTTTGTCACTTTTAGGAACAAACTGTGTTCACTTGTGGCTTCAAATTACKGTTTAGGTGAAAACAATGCAAAGGAGATGTCCATCACCCTTTTTTAATGTGATGCAATGTGCACCAACACAGCTGAGTTCTGCTTTATGCCTTTTATTTTTTCTTAGTTCTGTGATGCTCGCTTCATTTCTAAAAGCTCTTTTCTATGTGGGACGTGGTTGGCTCCACTGGTGATTTGTGAGCGACCAGAGCCAGCATAAAGACAGACAGAAAGTCAGGTTTTGCGGCCATTTCCCAAAAAATGTTTTGTAAAAATGTCTTTTGAAACATTATTTGAACAAACCTGAAAGCTGCTGGATGCTTGTGACAAAATCAGCATCTTTTAGATTTCATGAAAGAGAGAGAGAAAACAAGACATCACTCAGTAGTTGCGGTTGCCGTCTATGCTTTTTGTCCATCAAAACAACTTTTTTTTCTGACTCCTTGTGAGTTGCCATTCATTGTCAGCTCTCTTGAATAAATGCTGCTAGCTGGTTTATGTATGTTTTTAAAAGTACTGCACTTGCAAAATGTTTTTAAACTGAATATTCTGTCTGCAATGCAGAAATGTGCTCACATGCCATTACCTCAATCAATGAACCAAAAGCACGTTTGTTCGACCACTAAATCTACCTTGTATGTGAATGATCCACTTGATGCTTKTTTAGTCTTGTATTGAAAATTTAAGTCAGAAGCTAATATTTCTTTTATCAGCCTCTGGACTGTAAAAACTGCTTTACAAATTCAAGATTTGTCAAGGTTTAGAAAAATAGGAGTGAAGCTTGATGATAAATACTTGAAATATTTTCAGAATCTTTACTGGCATGCTGATAGTGACCAAAACATCATTAGATATGCAAGATTTGTATTTATTATTATTTTTTTTTCATTCAGCCTATTCATGTAAATTAATTTGTTTAAGGATTTTTCTGAGGCCAGAGTTAAGTCAAAAAGTTCAGTGGTGTTGCACTTTCAGTTTCATTTTCAATTCTTTATTAATTTCATTAAAACAAAACAAATAATTTTATATACAATGTACAATAAAAAATTAAAAAAGAAAAAAATGAGAAAAAATATACTATGTATATCAAAATCGCAAATAAAATGAAATGAAAGGCACCAGAGAGAAGAAAAAAAATCTTATATCTGCCCCTTTTATAGAATAAGTTCATATAACAAAAAATCTATGTTATTAACAAAACAACAGACAAGAACATCTAATTCCTCTAGAACAACAATTTATATAGATACACATTATACTGTTTCGTATTTCAATCCAACTTTTATAATTTTCTTAAACGTGCACAATGATCCTGCCTTTTTTTTTACTGTACATCACTCCCCAAATTATTCCATAGTTTTATTCTTTGAATTAAAGTACACCGTTCCTTCAAACTAGTTCTGAATTTGGGTTTTACAAATATCTCTGTAACAACTCTTTCTCTTGACAAAATTTACTTGGATGTGTAAAGGTAATGTTTTTTTTTTTTTTGTGGGCCTTATACATAACCAGTAGAATATTATAATCAATGAAATCAAAGAACTTCAATATTTTCAGTTTACAAAATAATGAATTTGATGGGTGACGACATTGTACTTTAAGGGAGATGTGCAAAATCCACTTTTTTAGCTGTTATATTGCTATGTAATTGGAGTCCCTAACATAGAAAAGTTGAATTGAGTCTCTCCTGGTGCTGCAAAGATATCTTTAAATTCTGTTTGGGTCATATTTTTCAGCCAGTTCAGTTTTCTTTATCTTATATGCCGTTTTCTGAGCTATTATGTCAAATTATCTGCAGTGGGATTGCCAATTATGGTCTGGACTTACCAACTACAATTTCCTTGTCTTAATTCTCCTCTGGTTCTGGGTCAGACTCTGGTTCTGGGTCAGACTCTGGCTCCAACATGTAAGGCTGGATGGACAAGTCTTATATAGTCTTCTTCTTCTTCTTCAAATTTTACAGCGGTTTGCAATCAAAAGGAGCATTACCACGGAACCTACTGTTCCGGAGTATGGGTCAAAGTAGCTACGTCCTTACACGAATCTT